GCCAGTGTGAGCGGCTGGCAGCCAGTGTGAGCTGCTGTGAGCTGCCATGAGCGGCTCTCCAGTGGCCGGCAACCGATCTGCCTCAGACGGGAATAGCGCAATGATAATACCAACATAGGCCAGTGAAGCAACGTCCTCCACAACTAGACTGAAGAACAAAAGACAGCAACTTGTCTGTTCCCCTCCCCCAATTCCCCAATAAAATCTTAAAAAAAAAAGAAATCCCTTGTTTAATTCCTGTTTTTCTAGTTCTCTTGTTTGCAGAATACATACTCACTGAGCCAGACATTATTTTTTTAAGACTTTCCGTGGTTGAGACTTCCTTTGAGCTCCAGCGCTCCAGTCTCATACATGTCCACTTGCATATCTCACAAATATATTAAATTTAACATGATCAAAACTGGACCCTTCATTTTCTACCCCAAACGTGGGTATGAGTAGAACCATGTGGCTTGACCGCCATTTACCCAGTTACTCAATCCAGAGAGTCATCCTCTTCTTTCCCTTTGCTTGCCAGCTATTGTCTTGTTAAACAAGTTTCTCAAATCCGTCCATTTCTCTCCATCTTCACACTGCCAGCCCTGTACTTGGCCCAGCCTGTCTGCCCTTCCAATAAACTATAAGCTTTGTAAGGGCAGGCATTATGTGGTGTATTTCCGGGGTTGAACACAGTATCTGGCAAGTGGGTATTGCATCACCAGGATGCTTGTAGTAAACAGCTGACACACTCAGGATAATTCAAGGAGGGTTTATTTACAGAAACTAATTATAAAGTTGCATGCAGGACATAGAGGAATCATCAGGGATCGTGTAGGAACCAGCATCATTGGAGTTGTTTTTACTGTGAGGCCTCAAGGGACCAGGGGAGGGAGAGGTTACAGGAACGCAGAAGGAAAGACTCCCGTACAGCAGGCTGCCTTTGGAGATTCAGTGACCCTCGGTCCAAAGACATAGCCAGCCTGAGAAGACTTCACAGGGAAGGAGCCAGAAAAACACATACCCTTCCTTCCTCTGACTTCCTGCTGGGGTTCAGTGAAAGGATGCCGGGATACCTAGACATAGTTCATGAACCCTTTGAAAAAACTGTAAACCAGAGGTTTGGAACGTGTATCTTAATTTTGCTAGTGGTGAGGACAAGTACCAGCAGTGTGTGAGGGTTATTTATGTCTTATGTGAATGCTGCTTTTCCACTCTGAGGTTTCTCTTAATAAAAATGTCCATCAGCTCTTGGTCTCAATTTCAGTATTTCTCAGTAGTGCTTCTTAGCGCACTTTTGAAACATAAAGCCAAATAGCCTGTATCCTCAGACTCCTCTCTCAGTAGCTTCATAGCTCTCTCTTCACCTTAAGAGACCAAGATCCAAAGTAATTTTAGACACTTCACACTCCATTCTGCTGCTAATATCTGTAGGGAAGAAAGTGTTAACTAATTTCTTCTGATCACCCTCATCTATTAATTTTATTATTTTATGAGACAGTGTCATAACATATATTGTATTTGGAGTTGGGCATTGTCTGAGTAATAAAAAAAAAGGGTTTATGGCCCCAATTACTTCTGAATGGGAGTTAATTGCAAGCCTTCTCAGTGAATCAGAACCATTGTATAGTTATATTAGTATTTTTGAGTATGATTTTTAGTTAAGTGGATTCTACTGCTTAATCAAAATGATTTAAATTTTGGTAGATTGCTAAGTGATTTACCCTCTAATTTCACCTTTCATCTGTATTAACCTTATCTTCTTGATAAGTGCCATATGTTTCCTCTTGTTTTATAATACATCCCCTTTCTAACATCAGATAAGCCCATTTTTATTTTTATTTTTTTGACATTCAACATTATTTTGTATTAATTTCAGGTGTACAGCATAGTGGTTAGACATTGGTATAATTTAAGAAGTGATCCCCCTGATAAATCTAGTACCACCTGGCATTATACATAGCTGTTACCATATCATTGACTATATTCCTATGCTTTACAGCCCCATGACTATTTTAGTTTTAAAATATAATATCCATTTCAATACTTTTTAGGATTTATTCTCATAGATCACATTTTCAAAGATAAGCTTTAGGACTTATCCCTACTTTAACTTTATAGCTAGAGCAAAGTAGTATTTAGACAACCTAGTTAACTTTATAGATAATATTTATTCTATTATTATTTTATTCCTCCAAAGAGTCTGTTTGAATTAATAGAGCCTCTATTGAGTGTTTTCATTTTTAAATACTGCTTTTTATTAATTTATTGAATTCTAAAAATCATTAATTTTTAAAGTGCATCAGTTATCACTGTGAACCAGATTCCTACTGATGGGAGGAGTTATTTTTCATATTACCTGACAGATTTAATGAGAAACTTTTTAATATGTTACTGAGAATTTCTTCAGTGAGTATGACATTAACATGTTTCTTTATTAACCAAAAATCTCAATGGTCTTCTCATCATTTTAAACATTATAACTATTCTATCATACTGAAAATGTGGAAGGGATAGGAGATTTGGGTTCAATATTCTTTTGTTTTTTTTTTATAAAGGATTAAAAAAAAATTTTTTGTTTTAAAGATTTTTGGGGAATTGGGGGATGGGAACAGCACGGGGGATTGGAGGAAGGGGAACAGACTAGTTGCCGTCCTTTTGTTCTTCAGTCTAGTTGTGGAGGACGTTGTTTCACTGGCCCAAGTTGGCACCATCATTGCTCTCTTCCCGAGCCAGGCAGATCAGTCACCGGCTTCTGGACTGCCACTTCCGGTGGCTGCTGGCCACTCATGCTGGCTGCCAGCTACGGTTGCCCATGGCAACCCACTGCAGCAGGGGCTGCAGCCTACGCCATTGCCAGGGACTCACGGCAGCCCAGCTCCAGGTTGAGCTGTTGTTCAGCATTCTAGCTGTAGAGGGCAGTGTCACTGACCCTCATATGTGGGATCCGAACTGGGGCCCTCTGGCATCCCAAGCCAGTTCTTAACCAACATGCCACTCGGCCGGCCCTCAATATTCATTCTTTAATTCAGTCAGACAAGCCTCCTGTTCACTGTCTTTGGTAGCGCTGAGGATTCAGAAATGAATAATGCAGTCACTGCTCACAGACATACAAAGAAATATAGTATATAATAAGGGAAAGATGTACACAATACAATGTGGTAAATAATATAAGTATTATAATGAGTATGCTTAAGGTAGGTGAGTGACAAGGCATAAGCAACATTTCTTGGGGGGATGGTGTCAGGGAAGACTTGTTAGTAAATGTTAAATAGGTGAAGGAACACTGATAAGTAATAAAACACTAATAAAAAATAGAGCCCTACACTGTAGGCTATAAATTTCTATTATTTAAAGATAAGTTAGTGAGAAACTAATGTTGTGAGGTTATACAATATTTGCTGATTGCCAAGGGAATGATGTAGTCACTAGCATTTACTGAATTACTCAGCTACACACACTACATGTCTTACTGCATGTAAGTAATCCTCGCTAACTCTCTGAGATAGTACTGATATTAAGCCCATTTTACAGGTTAAGACACTGAGACTTACAGAGGCAAAACCTCCTGCAGGTTCACACAGCTAAAATGTGGTGGCGCCGGGTACCGGGATACAAACACACACAGATCAACTAGAGAAACAGTGTTCTTAACCATAAAAAAAGTGAACATTAAGGACTATAGGAACCCAAAGGAGAAGGTTGAGAGCATTTGGAGAAGAATGACAAGTTAGAAGGTGGGTGTCATGAAGAATATCTGTGGTATGAGTGTTGGCATAAGTCACTGTTCATGGGGCAAGGTTTCCTTGAAGAGCAGACCATTATGATTGAATAGTCAGTGCACGGAGGAGCATCAGGGAAGATGAGGTTGGAAACTGAGGACGGGGTGGGAGCCAAATGTCAAGGATCCTGAAAATGAGTCTAAGTAACCTGTACTTTCTACAATAGAGAGCTATTGAGATTATGGGAGCAGACGAGTAATATGGGATTCAGCGTAACATAATGGTCAAGTTCTTGACTCCCTTTTCCAATTTTGTGATGTGCAGCATGTACGTTTGCTACTCGTAGACGCCTTTTTCTTATCTGTAAAATGAGCATGGTAATAATATCTACCTGACAGAGGTTAGTTTGTAAAACTTGACATATAGCAAGTATTGAACAAATATTATTATTATTATTATTATTAATGTGTTTTAGTAAATTTAATCTGAGAACAGTGCCTAGTAGCTTAAGCCTAAGACTTAGGCCATTAGTTGAGAAGTGCTTGAAACACAGTTGTAACACGTAAATAGAAAGGACAGATACTAGGGCTATTTTAGAGGAGTATTATTTTTCTAAATTTATATAGCTTTTAAAAACTTGATATGGTTCTTCATTCTGTTTCATAGTATTCATGTATTCATTATTGTATCGGTAGGTAAAAGCTGACAACTGAATGTAACTTCATAATTTATAAAAAGCACTTTCACGTTATCGAATTTAATTCTCAGAACCATTTTGTAAGATATTTCTATTAAGGCCCAGAGAGGTTAAGTAATTCATTGACAATCACACAAGTTTATAAAAAGAACCAATTTAATACTTGAATTTTCATACACCTATTCTAGTGCTTTCTCCTTTGTATCATATTATGACAAAAACTGATGCATAACAGACAACAATATGAAAAACTATTAGTACTTTGAAAGTTATTATCTTTTCATAGGTATCTGCCTTTATACCTAAAAATAACCTGGGCATGAAAGGGAACAGACAAATTCAGAGTCTACTAGTTATCTAATTCACATATAAACCCAATGAGATTTGAATACAATCTCTGCTCAGTAGATCAAAATATTAAGTGGCTATAATTTGCCATTTAAAATATCTTGAGCAGTAATGAAAGTAAGCTCTTGCTTTTCTGCATCAAACTGTAATAGGCATTTAGTACATTATGGGTTATTATAAAATATTTTACAATAGAACTATTTCTTAAGTGTTTTAAAATAGTATTATTCATGAAACTTTTTGAAATTTACCATCAGGCCAATGGTGGCAGAGTCTACATAGAACTATGCTTCGTGGTGTTCTGGGAAAAACCTTTCGACTTGTTGGCTATACTATTCAGTATGGGTGTATAGCTCATTGTGCTTTTGAATACGTTGGTGGTGTTGTCATGGTAAGTTTTTACATTCAAGAAAATAATCATTTTAAATATATACTTTTTTAAATTGAAGGAAAATGTGTTTTTCCCTTTATTATAATTGATGTTATTTAATGCATTTAACAGTCTGTTAAAACATAAAATCTTTCTAAATTTTGGGATGTAAGAGAATGTGTTTGTATTGGCACTGATATAAAAGCCATTATTTTAAAAATGGTTCTGTATTCTGTTTCTGACAGAGGTAAAAATGACCCTATTAATACTCTCATAATAATAGTTTTTACATTTTTTGAATGCTACTTACTGTGTTCCAGGATGTATTTGATGTTTTATGCTTATTAACACATTTAATCTTTATACTCTGTGAGATACTTATTAGAAATCCACTATAAATATGATGAAACAGGCTCAGAAAGCTTAAGTAACTTGCTCCAGGACCCAGTTAGTAAGGGGATTTGGAATTTCAACAGGTATCTCCTCTTTAACATGGTTTTCAAAACTCTTACTCTTAACCACTCTGTTTAACTGTCATTAAAACAAATGATTATTCTGCCTTATGACAGTCAGTATTACAATGTTAAGGCTGCTCCCCTCTGCACCCCCTCGCACCAATGGTTTTTCTTAATATTGCATTATAAATCTGTCAACCATGACTGTATTAACCGTTTGTCATGTAAATGAAATAACTGATTGTACGTCCAGCCAGTGGGTTTTGTTGGTGGTGGTGCTGTTATCAGGTTTACCCTAACAGATTCAGTCATACAGCCTCAAGTTGAGCTGGAGGAATGCAAATAAATATATTTAACTGAAACTCCCCTTTTTGATATTTTAAATTTACATTGGTACTTCTAGTGGGCTACAGAGGTAGCAAATATAAACTTTCATTGTGTTCTTCATTATTTTCTGCCTGGGTAGGAAGTTTTCAGTAAAACGTTTTATGTATGCATAAGTGGAGTAATTATACTGCTGTATTTAGATTTTGTAGGTGGCAATGATCATTTATTACAGTTTTGAGGTATATATAAAGATTATTGTTTTAAGACATACTAATATGAAAGTCTTAAAGTACATCACATTATGCAAATATTTTTCAGTCAAAAATATAAGTTGCAGCCCCATCAATGAGTAAGCTATTCTCTTGGAAAAGAAGGAAAGACATCAACTCATTGAGAATAGTGTAATCCCACTTAATAAATCACCATCATTGGCAATGGATGATATTTGACAATAACAAGAAAATAAATTATTCACTTATTCATTCAACATATATTTTTTGAATATCAGCTTCCTGCCAAGCCCTGTTCTTAACCTTGTTTATACAGCTGGGAACATAGAGACCAGGTCTGGCCTCATGGAGCTCACATTCTACAGGATAGCCAAAATTTGGAACCATAGAGAATGTTCTTTTATTCATGTATTATAACGTAATATCAGTAAACCATTTTTAATATATGTGCCTGTGTTTCCAGACTTGGTGGCCCCTCTGTAGAGTTGAACGTATCTGGGAGCTGCCAGCTCGTTGTGAATCATCCTCCAAGCTTGAAGACCATTTGCTTGATTTTCTTTCTTTGAAGCCTGCTCAGATGATTTATATTAAAAAAAGATTTTCAACTCAAATTACAAAATTACCTCTCTTTTCAGTGTTCTGGACCATCAATGGAACCTACAATTCAAAATTCAGATATTGTCTTTGCAGAAAATCTTAGTCGACATTTTTACGGTATCCAAAGGTAAATTTCTGTCATAGATATATTAAATTTATGGTGAGAGCACACATACACGTTGTCTTTTCTGCAGTTTCTTAACTTTATCTTTAAAAACTCTTGTAAATAATTAATGACCAGCTAGATAAAATTTTTACTCAAATATTTTCTCTCAGTTTGAGAAATTTTAAGTTTCTCTCACATGTACAGTCTCTCAGGTCATTATGTCCCTTACATCATTGTCCACGATAGAGAGCAGACCCTTTTATGATGTACTTTCAAAGGCTACTTGACCCTTTTGCGGGGAGGGGTGGCTAGAATGTTTGGAGTCAAGAACTAGGGACATAGGAACTACATTACATATCCAAATCATTGGTTTGGTTTTAAAATTTTTAAATAATCCTGTATTTTCTGTTGATGGCTGTCTTATTTCCTATAGCCTATGAGGAGCACTGGATGATTTTTACAATATAGCAGGGTATATAGCCTGGAGCCAGGAACCTTATCTATTATGCATCTCCTGGTCAATTATATTAAATTGAAAAACTCCCTGGAAAATATTGTTTGCCACTAAATTTTTAAAAATCTTACTTTAAATGATGTTTCTAGTCCTGTGACACTGTTTATTCTACTTAACTCCATGAGTATTATTCCTTCTGAATGGATGTCAAAATTAGTAATGTGTTTTCTTAAGGGTACCTTTGATTCCCTAAAATTTTGGATCCATTAGTTTTTCATAATTCTGAAAAAATAAATTTATACCAGCTTTCATCTCTATTAAGTACAAATTTGACTCAGTTGAGCTGATATTTACAATAGCTATGGCATAAGTAGATTTAGAGATTCGTCTTTCATGACTGACCTTTTCTATAGTCTGTTTCACATTCCTGAAAAGTCATCAAGAGGGCTGGCTGAGTGGCTCAGTTGGTTAAGAGCGCGAGGTCTGAGCAGCAGAATCACTGGTTTGATTCCCACAGGGGCCAGTGAGCTGTGCCCGAGCTGAGCTGCCGCTGAGCTGCCAACAGGTGGCAGGATGGCTCAGCTAGTGAGACCACATGCTCCTAACAACAAAGTTGTTGGTTCCACTCCTGCCTGGGATGGTGGGCTACGCCCACCCGCAACTAAGATTGAATATGGCACCTTGAGCTAAGCAGCTGCGAGCTGCCCACAGCCAGCCAGATGACGACTGGACTTGGAGCTGAGCTAGCTGTGCCCTCCACAACTAAGACTGAAGTAGAACAACTTGGCTGTTCCCCTTCCCCAATAAAAACTTAAAAAAAAATCATCAAGAATAGTGTAAAACTGTTCTTTGTATTATTGATCCTTCATCATCTTAGATTCTATAGCTAGAAATTATCTTTTGGTTACACAGTATGACCGGTCTAGCATGGTCTCTAGGTAATTCTTCTTCAGGTCTTTTACCCATAACAACTTCAGGATACCTAGTTAATAGATATGGGGGTTAGAAAATAAAACTTACACAGGTTGTGTTCTAGCTTCGTTTTCTTTTTAACTTATATTAAAATAACACAATACAGTCTTTAGATTTATTGGAGATCTAGCCTCACTGTAGCATGAAGACAAGTTTCTGCCTTCCATGCTAATGACATGATTTTACTCATAGTTCTTGAGCATCCTTAACAAGGAGCTGAACTTGTTAGCTAAATAGTTTTTGAATGAATAACTAAGCATTCACTTATTTTTCATTTTAACAGAAAAAGCATTTTGTTCTGTTTGGTTGAGACATTAGTCCTACATTTTTGTCTCCATTTCCACTTTAAAAAATTTTTTTTATTCTTCTAATACATGTAGATTGTTACTTCTTCCATGAATCATGCCAATTTATTTATTTTTTGTATATGTTTTGGCAGCTTTTGGCATTTTATTTGGTTGTGTCTTCTGATATTTTCTCTCAAATATTAAGTCTTTTTGACTACCCTGTAAGTTATCTGGGTTATATAATTTATATGCTGTAATTCCTCAATACTTTGAGATCCAGGGAAACATAGATGATGCTTCTACCTCTTTATGTGCTGTAGAGTCCATGAGTAGTACCTACTGGCTGGACAGTAAAAGTTACTTAATTTGGTAGTATTTGCATAGAATTGTTTTTCCATAGATTTGGTTCTAAAAATTTGGACACAGAAGTAACACATAGTAGATACAGTGAAAGAAGATAATTCTTATGAAATTAATAGAAATTTTAGAATCTTTTAATAGCTTTTCCATCTCTCCCATTATTGGATTCTAACCCATAAAAATCAGTCACAAAGGTTCTCAAAGTTGGCAAATGTATGGGAGAGTCCGTGTCTGAGAGGATAAAGGGTGTGGCTTCAAGTTGCTGTATACAAGTATTATAGCAATGCCATGTATGTGTTTATGCTTAATAAATAACACTGACATTTCTTTGACTTTTTTCCCTCAGAGGTGACATTGTGATTGCAAAAAGCCCAAGTGATCCAAAATCAAATATTTGTAAAAGAGTAATTCGGTTGGAAGGAGACAAAATCCTCACCAATAGTCCATCAGATTTCTTTAAAAGCCGTAGTTATGTAAGTAACGTTTTAATTATATTATTCATTGGTATCATAGTTTACTAACATTAATTGAAAACACAAAAGAAAATAACATTTATATTTTGAGTATAAGTTAAAGTGCTGCATTCAGTAGAATTTAAGTATGTTTGTATTAAGAACCATTTGGCCATTATATTTTATGTTTTAGTTCCTTTTAAAACCCTATATAAACATCTCCGTAATAATAACATTCACCAATGCATGTCAAAATACTGGGCAAAAGTTTGAGGAAAAATAGTATATTTGCATAGTCTCAAAGTATCTCTCCCCAGATATTTATTACAAAGGGCAAAACAGTAACCACGTAGAGGAGAAACCTGGCATACCACCGTAACTGAGTGATCAAGGTCAACTTCACCAATAACCAGACACATCGGCATAACGTAGCCCTTGATTTGAAGCACTGAGAAGGGCATGCCACTTTTGTGGTATTCTTGCAAAACAAAGTATGAATATAACCTCAGTCTAATCATAAGAAAACATCAGACAAACCTTAACTGAGGGTCATTCAGCAACATAACTGACCAATACTCTTAAAAAATGTCAAGGTCATGAAAAACAAGGAAAGATAGGAATTGTCACAGATTGGAGGAGACAAAGGAGATATGACAACTAAATGCTATCTGCGATTCTGGCTTAGAAAGTTTTTCCACTGGCTTACTAAAAGGAAAATCTGGTAAAAATAAAAGAAAGCCTGTCATTTAATTTTTTAAAATCCTATTTATATTTTTAGAATAGAAATTGTGTGTACCGTTAGTCTAGTCAACTTGCCTGTCCAGTTAGAAAGAGCAAGGGCGGTGGAATGGAGTGAAGAGCAGCTGTAATGTGTTACCTCCTTCACCAGTCTTATGGCCGCTCTGACAGAGCTTATGGTGGGGGAGGGTGGCCTTTTGTTTACTAAGCATATAGTCTTCCTGCTTTTGTAATTATAACTTAATTTTATACTTTTATTTAAAAGTTCTATGTCACTATTAAATTATTATAGCTGTTACATCTATTAACTGTTACCTTTATCTTCATCTCCAATGTAAGCATATGATTAAGAGTTAAACTGTCTTCATCATTGTAAATTTATTTTGAACTATAATAGCTTCTGCTTGCCCTATGAGTAAGTTTGGTCAATAGACTATTACATAATCGATCTACTAGTTTTTTACCATCCATAATAGATGGGTCAGCTGTGCAAATGTTTTTGGTGTTTATTACTACAATGTTAAACATACTAGTGATTGTTAGCTGATGGTGATAACATTGAAGAGGATAGTATGGTATGAGGTAACCTGTTTTTCTATGGGACTTCATCGGGGACACTGTATCCTTTTATTCTTCAAAAATGTCAGATTTTTTCATAAGTTTCACCTTCATATGATTGTTATTATTTTGTGACACATTTTAATCACTTCTGCTTTAGTTTTGCATACACTTGAGACCAGAAATAGTTTTATCAACAGAGAGAATAAAACATATAAATGATAGCATCCACACCATTGTTGTTGATTTCTTTTTAAGTATTAGAGGAGGAATATCAGGACAAAAGGAGTTAGTTAAAATGTCTAAGTAATTAGAAAAGACAACCAGAGGACTGTAAGATATTTTGAATATTCTATTTAAGAAAAACTTTCATTGAATTTTTATGCTGATGAATGGATAAAGGACAGTGATTTTGTTCCAGGTGTATTCCGTTCACTTTGGCTGGCATGTTCATAAGTGTACAAACGCAATTGTAATAAATTTGGCCAACATTTAATGTGTTTACTCTGTACCAGACACTAGAAACTCTTTACAAGGGTTAATTTATTTAATCATCACAATAGCAACCCAATGAGGTAGGCAGTAGTAGTATTGGACAGATGGGTAAACTAAAGACAGGGAGCTTAAATAAAATGCCCAATTTCAAACAGTGAGAGAAACAGTTGGAATTCAAATACAAGTAGCCTGGCTCCATGCAGAATCTTTACTTAACATGCCACTACTTCTGCTCCCCAAATATCCTCTACTTATCTATTATTTCTACTCCCATCGCATCAAATTGTACTTTTCTTAAAATGCATTTGTCTTTATTATTTTTAAAAAGAAAGGGAACCATTTCTGATCAGTATTGGTTCTGAAAGAGAAGCCAGTAATTTTTGAAGGTTTCCTCACCAACAGTTTTTCTAGGCTGGGTTTTTCAAGCCATAAGAATTGTGTAGCTATTACAAAAGCACTTAAGCAAATGTGTTCCATTAATCAAGGTGATTTATAACAAAAATTCATCCAAGTCTGGAGCACTCTGAAGAGATATCCAAACTGTTTGCAGGGTCTGTTCCCATTTTTAGCTATCTCAGAAGCACACTGGTGCTGTATTTTATGAAATGGGTTTCTCCCCCTTACCTGTGCATCCTCTTAGAAAAATCGTTGTTTATAAAATGAAGACATTACTATTCAGATCTTGATTGAACTGCATAGTAAAGATGATGAATATTAAATGTTTTGAATTCCAGGCAAAAAACATTCATTCTCTAAGTATGTGCTTCAGAAAGCAAAACACCAAAATTGTCATTTGGAACCTAGAACACAGAGTTTAGCATATGAAAGAAATAGCATTGTTCCTAAGTTGGCAAAAAAGAATATAAACAGATCATTGGTTAAGTGATGTGGAACCATTTTATTCATTCCAGGGTTCTAAAAGTCCATGTGGCATGCAACACTTAGGAACTGTGATTTATTTTTTACATTAAGCATTTGGAAACTAAACAGACTCTATGAAGGTTCTGTTGCAGTGGGTTTTGCGTATTTTATTTCGATGGTATTGAGGCCAATAATTCTTTCCTTGGGTTATGGGCTGAGCATTGGCTACTAGGATATGAATTTAATTTGTGACTCTCAAAAGAAACATATTGTACTCAGCTCCAACATCTTGAATAACTTACCTTCCTCTACTACAGCAATTCCTCAGTTTGCTGCTAGATGCCACTAATTTGCCCCCCAAAAAAATTTAGTTGGAAGTAGAAACATTTAGCAAATAGGAAATCCATAAAATAAACTGGCATTCTCCCTATTGGTTTGCACAGTAGGCAAAATGCACAGTAAACACTTATTTAATGTAGGGGATATAGGGCCAGGACTCAGGAAACGTAGGAAAATTTTGTTGTAAAGCTAATGAACAGACAAAGAAAAACACTTTTTCTTTCTGAGGATAACATTATATAATAGATAGTCCAGGGCTATAATTTTAATCCATAGTGTAACTGGTACAGTTAGGCATTTTGAAATATAGGAAGTTTCTCTCAGTGAACAAACATGCTAAAAAAAAAAATCTCTGATCTAAAGAGTCTCCTTTGGAGAGACGTTTGCATACTTACTGACTCCATTCTGTACTTCCAGTTCTCTCTTGAACTCATTCAGTTAGGCTTTGGTCCCCACCACTGCATTGAAACATTGCTTGTCAAGAGTCCCAGTGGCTTCTTGTCAATCCAGTGGTCAACTTTGTCCTCATTTTACCTGACCAGTTGTTAGTATTTGAAATAGTTGTTCTCAAAACCTGGTTTCCCTAGATTTTGGACACCACTCTTTCTAGGTTTTCTTCCTATCTTTCTGCTGCTTCTGAGTTCCCTTTGTTGGTTCCTCCAAACATAGGGGAGGAACTAAGAGTTCATATTTGACATTTCTTCTCTTGTTTATATATACTCACACTTTAGGTGACCTCATCCTGTCTTATGGTTTTAAATACTAACTTCACTCCTAAATTTATATCGACCACAACCTCTTTCCTGAACTCCAGAATCATGTATCTAAAAATCTACCTAATGTGCCCACTTTAGTACATAATGGTCACCTCAAACTCATCATGTCCAAAACTAAACTGATTTTCCTTCCCAAACTGGCTCCTCCCACACACTTTCCCTTCACAGTAAAGGTGGAAACTAACTCTTCTGTGTGCTTGGGTCATGAACCTTGGAGTCATCCATGACTGTCTTCCTCTTTCACCCCACATCCAGTTCATTAGCAAATCACGATGACTGTATCTTCTAATATAATCAGAATTAGCCCTCTTCTTGCCACCATCACTGCTACCATCTGGTGCAAGACAAAATTCATCTCTCTAGTTCTCTTGCAATAACTTCTGAACTGCTCTCTCTGCTGTTTTCCCCATCTCCTTGCCTTCCTACCCTTCCACTGAATATTTTCTACGTAGTAGCTGAAATAATCCTTTTTAATAATGATGCTTTTTTTTTTAAGATTTTTATTGGGGAATTGGGGGATGGGAACAGTGCTGGGGAATTGGGGGAAGGGGACAGATAAGTTGCTGTCCTTTTGTTTTTCAGTCTAGTTGTGGAGGACATCGATTCACTGGCCCAAGTTGGCACCATCATTGCGCTTTTCCCGGGCGAGGCAGATCAGTCGCCGGCTTCTGGACGGCCGCTCACGGTGGCTGCTGGCCACTCACGGCGGCTGCTGGCAACTCATGGTGGCTGCTGGCTACGCACAGTAGCCCATGGCAACCCACTGCAGCAGGCAGCCCCGCTCCAGGTTGAGCTGTTGTTCAGCATCTTAGCTGTAGAGGGCAGTGTCACTGGCCCTCATATGTGGGATCCGAACTGGGGCCCTCTGGCATCCCAAGCCAGCTCTTAACCAACGCGCCACTTGGCCGGCCCAATAGTGATGCTTTTTAAGAGTAATACCACTCTTCTGCTCAGAGACCCCACTGGCTCCCCATCTCACATATAATAAAAGCCATTAGCCTTAGATTGGCCTACAGGACCCTACAGGATCATTCTTCCTGCTGCCTGTTCTTGTCATTAAAGTTTTATTGGAACACAGGCCCACTTTTCATTTACATATTATCTGTGGCTGCTTTCACTAAAACAGAGACTATGTATGACTTGCAAAGCTTAGGTTGTATACTGTCTGGCCCTTTACAGAAAAAGTTTGCTGACCCCTGCTCTAGAAGGTTCTTGATGGCAGGTATTTGTTTTGATCACAGCTGATTCCCTAGC